TGGTTTGATGTTTTCTGAAGTATGGCATTGGTCAATTGTTGGTGCAGGTAGGACTGATGTGTGGAGATGGAACTGACAAGCATTTATCCTGGCATACAAAGTCTTTGTTGCACCCAGGCCATTCACAAACGTAAGGCCTCGCCTCCGTGTGGCGTCTGGTATGTACTGAAGGCACGTGAATGCAAAGTGAAGCAACGGCATTTCAAGCAACAAGATGTATGCAGGCGCACCTCGGAGGTTAGAGCGCCACACGAACGTGCTGTTGCAGCCGGGAACGAGACATGCGTAGTGGGCGTCGTTCTTCCTCCGCTTCGCGTTCGCAGCTTGTCGCGCGGGCGTTGTCACTTGCTTCCTGGTAACAGGGAGATTCGGTGAGCCTAACATGCCGGGCGGTGTTTCGAACGTCTGCGACTGTGCGTCGTAAGGGCACGCATAGGGAACAGGCTGGCTCTCCGGACCATGCGCGTCGCGGTAACACGCGATAGCCTGAGGACACGGTACCGGTGGGCTCGTCATGCGGGCACCGAGCGGCAATGCGCTGGCGCACAAAGGGCCGGGCGTAGACGCTGAACCCGTCTCAGGAGGGCCAGCGAGCGATGGCGCGTGCTGGGCCGGATGCGCCTGGGACGCGGTAGTACTCGGATGGTACGAGTACGGGGAAGGCCCATTTGATATGGGCCATGGTGTGAATGGGGCATAGTGAAAATGCCCCGAATGGGTCTGGGTGCATTGGATGCCACCCAGATAGAATTGGTTTGGCGAGGGATGTATGGCGGGGTATTCTGGACTAAGGGCCATTTGAGTTGTATTGTGCTGGGAGGCCATGGTCTGTGCAGAGCTGGCGGGCCCCAGGATTAAATATGGAGAGCTCACAGGGCCCTTTACTCCTTCCAAAACTTCTAGGCGGCCCAGAAAGTAGAAACAGGGAGGCTCGTTGATTGGCCATACATAATGTGTATTGACAGCTGGGCGTCTCAAGGGGTCGTATCCCTCTGCTCGGACGTATAAATTGTGTCAAAGTCTGTCAAGATAGGGCAGTATGGTCAGTATCTCCGTGTTTCACAAGCACGAGGCAGTCTAGAAACGTACACCGTAGCCAGCGACGAGAACGGCGAACTCGCATGCCGTCAGCTGAGCCCCTTGAGGCACAAACGTCGGGAAGGTCTGCGGTCGGCGCGCACGTCGTACGACGCCGTTTGGTTGCGGACTCACCGGCACCTTTGAATCCAGCAAGACAGCTTCCAGAGCAATAGGCTTAGGGTACGAAAATGATGCAAGTGGCTGGCGAGGACTGCATGTACACTCAGAGGAACGTAAGGACAGGACTTTCGAGTCGACAAAGAGCTGCAACCGCTGGCGCGGACAATGCCGAGCAGCGAGCACCGCTTCGGCAGACTCCGCGCGTGCGCCTTACGAACACCCAGTCGGCCACCTTCCCTCAAGCGTTATTCTGCCTCTTCCTGCTCGGTCCTCCGACTTCTTCGCAGCGGCAATGGCAACCATACACCCCTCGCGCATGGGCCTTGTGCCTCACGACCAAATGGACGTATCGACGAGCCGCCGGCGCTCGCCGTCGCCGCGGCGTCACCGCAGCAGAAGCAACGACAGGCATCGCGACTCGAGGGACGTGCGGGACCGGGATCGCGATCATGGCAGAGGCGAGGGCAGGGAGAGGGATAAAGGGTACGACAGGAGCAGGGATGACGGGCGCGAGAGGGAGAGCAGGAGGGAGAGGGAGAGGGTCAGAGAAAGGGAAAGGAGCGCAAGTCGGGACCGCGGACGACGGGACGACAGGCCCGAGCGCGACGGTGCGCCTCCTCCGCGTGCGCGGCGCGATAGCCCGGAGTACTCGGAGTACCGCAAGCCAGGCAGTCCGCAGAGGGACGCGCACGCCCAGGCGCCGTGGCACCAGCCGGAGAACATGTACGGGCAGCGGCGGGAGAGGCCGTATGGGGGCCATGGAGGTGGAGATGGAGGCCACGGGGGCGAGGGGGCGGACTATTTTGAGAGGTGCGTGTGTGGTGTCTGGTTTTTGGTGGCCGAATGCTGACTTGGGTGCAGTCGGAGACTGCAGAGGGCGGCTAGTACGCTGAGTATCTGGCCTCCGTCACCCAAGGCACCTGCTCGTGATCTGTATGTGCTATCTCTATCTTCATTGCAAGAAATATCTCCTCTGACAGTACCCTACAGGTCACCTGAACGCGATTCCAAGTCGCGCCGAAAACACAAGCGGAGCCGCTCAAGTTCTGTCTCCTCCTCGGACGACAGCGAGGAGGAGCGGAGGCGCCGCGAGCGCAAGGAGCGCAAGCGGGCGAAGAAGGACAAAGAGCGGTCGGACAGGAAAGACCGGCATCGGCACCGAAGCTCCAAGAGCAAGCATGACTACTCTGACGAGGACGATAGCGACCGGGAGCGGGAGCGCGATCGACACCACAGGAGCCACCGGAGCAAGACGACGAGCAAGGAGCGCCGTCGGTCCCCCACGCCGCCGCGGATGGACGAGGAGGAGGACTGGGTCGAGAAGCCCGCCACCGGCGCCGTTGTACCAGACCTGCCTGACAAGACGTCGAAGGCGGAGACCACCGTGTCGGTGCCCCAGGACAAGGCTGCAGCTGCAGCTGCGGACGACTCGGACGAGGAGGTGGGCCCGCAGCCTGCGACGAGCGCCAAGGCGACGAAGAAGCTTGACGAGCGTGCGTACGGAGGTGCGCTTCTCCGCGGCGAGGGCAGTGCGATGGCTGCGTTCTTGCAGGACGGGACGGACGTGCGTATTCCGCGCCGTGGTGAAATCGGCCTGGCGTCGGACGAAATTGCGTCGTTCGAGGCGGTCGGGTATGTCATGAGCGGAAGCAGGCACCAGCGCATGAATGCGGTACGTATCCGGAAGGAGAACCAGGTTATCAGTGCCGAGGAGAAGCGGGGCATTCTGAAGCTGCAGCAGGAGGAGAGGGAGCGGCGGGAGGCGATCTTGCGCGAGGAGTTCCAGGAGCTGTTGAAGGACAAGCTGAAGGCGACGGAGGGAGGGAGGGGTGCTTGAGTGTCTCTCGAAAAGTTGTGCTCTCTTATGTCTATCTCTGTGCTGTACTTTACCTTGCTTTTATTATACTCACGGAAATGAAAGGGCGTTATAACCACGCCTTTGTAGTCAAGCTGAGAAGCTCAAGGTCGGAACGCATGATGATATTCGTCCACTGAGTATGTTTTGCAATCATTGATATACCGTTCCGTGCAAGATATGCGATAAAAATACAGAGACAGCAGTAATGGGTATATCAATCAAAGCTCCTCGCGGGGCGCCTTGCTGTCGAGCCCGACCAATTCTACGTCGAACACGAGAGCCGAGTTGGCAGGAATGACGGAACCAAAGCCGCGCGAGCCTGTGAGTGAACTAGGTGAGCAAGGGGCCTGCAGAGGTATGGTGGTAGGGCGCACCGTATGCCAAGTGCGAAGGGATGGTGAGCGTGCGCTTCTCGTTCACGCACATGCCGATGAGGCCCTGGTCCCAGCCTTGGATGACCTGTCCGACGCCGACTATAGGGCGGGCGTTAGCTGCTGAAATTTAAATTCTCAGTATGTGAGCGTGGCCTACGTGTCAAGGGCAGAGGAGTGCCGCGGTCATAGCTGCAAGGCTAGTAAGAACCTGGACTTCTACAGTGATTAGCAGACAAACCTGGAATCGAATTTGTTTCCGTTGGAGAACAGAGTGCCGGTCTATTAAGGAGAAAATAAGTCAGACATGTCCAGCACTGCAATGCGCGCCGACGATACTCACGTAGTGCACCTGGATCGAGTCGCCCTTCTGCGCCTTCACCTTGCAGTCATCAGGTTTATGGGTCGTGTCAATTTTAAGATCCTTGGGGGGCTCTGCGGCGGAGACGAGGAGGCCGAAGGCGAGGACGGACAGCCAGTTAGAGATCTGCATGGTGGGAGTGGAGGAGGAGAAACGAACGCTGTCGACGTGTCGCGCTTCGTTGCCAGACGTGCGCGCCCACGCGTCGCGTCAGCACCATGACATCGACACGCCCGTGCGAACAGTCCTGGTCCCGTGGTCCTCGGCACGCCGGCTTGGAACGAGGACGCTGCTTTGTCATCAACTGTACAGAGTCGCCACACGGGCCAACCTTATTTTTCACACCGACGCCAACGTTCCGCACGACGCCGCAAGATCCTCAGAAATGGTGCGCACGCTGCGTTCACGCCCGTCGGGCCCGCGTACTGACCGTACGCCCCCCTTGTAGCCTTCCCAAAAGACCTTCAGAACGAAGCGCATCCTCGCTAAGGCCTCCCGCCAGAACAGGTGCGTTTCGGGTCCAGATGCGTGTTGTGTGTGTATGGGGCTCATGCATTCTGCTGCGTATAGGCCCATTCCCCAGTGGTTCCGCCTGAAGACGGACACCAAGATCCAGGTGCGTTACACGCCGTTTTCTGCTTACTTCGAAGCTGACAGGACATGCTATCCGAATAATAGTACAACGCCAAGCGCCGCCACTGGAGACGCACGAAGCTCAACATCTAAGCTTCCCCTCCGCCCCGCAGTCGCCGCATTTTCCTCCGATCCTCGCACTCTGTTTTGATAGTGGCAGGGAGAGTTATGGGAGTTCCGGCCAGGAGCGCGTTGCTCGCTTCTGGCACCGCCAGTTTCCGCATGCATGTATTGCCTCACTATTGACTTATGACACTTCAAAATTCTTTGCATGCCTCTCGCATTTTGGTTGTTTGCAGTACTTGGAAGATTTGAGGTTCTGCTGGGTCCGTGATATCTGGACATCCGAATTCGTGGCTGCTAGGTGAATCGGCTTTCGACCTCTTCCATCCTGGCGATATGGAAGGATCGCGTATATGGATTGCTGACCGTCGTGAGCCGTGTTATCGACTACGTCTACTACTGTCACTGTGTGCACATCGATCGTGAGGCTCGCAAGACTGACAACCCTATAGATTCTAAGGTCCTCAGCGTCAGGAAAAGACTATGATCAAGTATAACAGAGCCCCTATCACAAGCATTAGTGGTGTAGCGGTAACATTGGGTCTTCCCAAGAGATCAAATCGCTTGATTGGCCTAGCTCCGGGTTCGACTCCCGGCTGATGCAATAGTGAATAATGGGGGACAAACATTTTTCTTTGGTTCTTGCACTCTTTCTATGGCGCAGAAAAAAATCCAGAAATCCTCTTATTTTTCCACTCTGGATATATATAAGCAGTCACCAGGATCGTATTCGCGATGTAGAGTGCCGTTGAGGGCGGACGTTCGAATGTCGATTTGTTGAGCAACCGATTTGCGCGCGGCCGACACGCGTCAGTGCCACGGTCATCATCCAGAATCTGCATGGACGGTGCTTGCTGAGGACACGTAACGCTAGCGCTTGCCATCCGCACCCCCCATGTCTCTCATCCTCACGATTTTCGCTCTCGTGTTCTTCACGGAGCTCATAGCCTGGATCGGCAAATCCGTGCTCCTGCAACTCGTGCGTCGCTCGCATTTACATGTGTCCCCCTAGCCCACAGCTAACCTCTCGGCTTTGCCGTTTGGCATCCGTTTTGCTTTACTCGCAGACATGGGAAGCGTATTTGCGCATATTTAAGTCGGGCGTCGCGGCACGCCAGAGGAAGCTCAAGACGGAGATTCTGGCGAAAAAGGCTGAGTTGCTGCAGACGAGTGCGCAGGACCAGTTTGCGAAGTGGGCGAAGCTGAGGCGGTCGGTGGATAAGGGGCTCGCCGACCTGGAGAAGCTGAGTACGTGGCACATATCTTCACTCTTCCACAGCAATGCTCCTGTGCCGATTGACGGGCAGGGCGCAGTGCTGGTGGTGTCTGGTCCTCGATCCTCGCCAGTGACGCTATGCTGATACTTGGATTCCTAGATGCCGAGCTGAGCGGCGCCAAAACATCCTTCTCGCTCCGGTTCAACTCGGTGCTGTGGATCATGACTACGGGGCTGCAGTTCGTCGTGGGCTGGTGGTACCGGAAGGCGGCCGTGTTTTACCTGCCGCCGACCTGGCTGGGCCCTTTGACGTGGTGGCTCTCCCTCCCCTTCGCACCTGCAGGTGCGTGCATTTCCATGGCTATCGTGCACATACATGCATATCTAATTGATTCCGTGTTGCACAGGCTCCGTGAGCTGCGGGGTGTGGCAGATGGCGTGCAGGCGTGTGCTGAAGGTGGGAGAGCGTGTCGTGAAGGAGCTATATCGTACGTAACTGTATACTCTTATCCGTGGAGTGCAGGCTCAAGTGGGAACGCTGGGTTTGTGTACACAGAGCCTGCGTCTACGGAACCCGTCTCCGTTGACGGCAGCGAGGAACCGGAGAGCGCGGGTTCCGCGGGACGGGATAAGAAGGAGTAGGCTGGGGCGAGCGCGGGAGAAGTGCGGGATGGCCGGGCCCGTCGCGTTTGACTGTCCCCGGTACCGTGCTGCGAGGCGAGCCGACGTGTATCTTCTAAAGGTAATCCGGAGCATTCCTACAACTCCTGTAATGCCCTAGGCAATGCTGCGGGTCAAACTAGAGCCCGGGCGCGATGTTGTGCAAACACATGGACACTTATTTTGCGGGGGAGCTCTGATCGCGCGGAATGTACAACGGGTGCATACTTGTGGATGTGACTCCTTGCCATGACTGTTGCTGGAAAATGCTCGCCCTGAGCGAGCTATAGAGCGGGGTGCGAGGAATATGTACAGCCGGACGCGGGGTAAGCTAGGAGCCATTATGACGGCCCCGCGGATCAGATAAGATAAGATGAGATTGTCATTGGCAAGCGACCTCTGGCACCGTGAGCCCGTGCAGCTGGAGCGACCAAGCGACGACTCTAGCCTCTGTCCTCCGAACGTGCGTCTCAGCGACCTCCGTCCCCGCGCGTATTTTGGGACACACGGTCAGCAGTCTGCGCTTCGCCCTCCCTGTGAGTGCCCAGCCGCGTCACTTGTGCTTGCGCGCGGCCTGGAACCGCCCGGGAACAGGCGTCGTGCGTATCACATGGAGGCGCAGGGCTGGCCGGGCGGATCCCTGGCGTCGCCGAGATCATAGGTGCAGCCACGAAGCTCCATAGCGGGGTCATGGGAGGGGCGCGGCGGCGGGGCGTGCCGGGGACGCTGGTGCCTTGAATTGGGGACGGGGACCGCGACGGTGGCGACGTTGCGGACGGCCGCGCCGTGCGGGGCGGAGGTGGGTGCGGAGGCGGCACGGGCGACGACGCGGACGCGGTGTTGAGGTCGGGCGGGTGGGCGGGCGGAAGAGGGCAAGGGACCCCGACGACCGTGGTTTCCCAGTTGGGCATGTGATATCGGGGGACATGACGTCGGTGCGGGTTGCGCACGCGGGTGCTCGGAGAGCCGTACGCCCTATAAATCCCTCCAGCCCGCCACCGTCCCTATCCACTCCCACAACCTCACCATGGTCCAAGGCGTACAAATTCACTCCACCGTCGCTCAGGAGGCTCAGGCCGCCGTTCTCACCGAGGACGCACTTGCCTTCCTCGCCGCCCTCCACAGGACCTTCGAGTCCACCCGCCAGAGCCTCCTCGTTGCCCGCGAGTCCGCCCAGCAGCGCCTCGACTCGGGCGTTCCTCTCGACTTCCCCACCGAGACCGCCGCCATCCGCGCCGACCCCTCATGGCACTGCGTGCCCCCCTCTCCCGGTCTCGAGGACCGCCGTGTTGAAATTACCGGCCCCACGGACAGGAAGATGGTGGTCAACGCCCTGAACAGCGGCGCAAAGACTTTCATGGCTGATTTCGAGGGTGCGTTGTGTTTCTCATTTTTATTCGTGGCCGCGTCTTATGATTTTGCAGACGCCAGCTCCCCGACCTTCAAGGCCATGCTCGAGGGCCAGGTCAACCTCTACGACGCGATCCGCCGCCAGATCGATTTTGATATTGGCCCCAAGTCGTACAAGCTCTCCCAGAACCCCGCCGTCCTCATCGTCAGGTCAGTGCCACATTTCGAGCGGTGAGAATTTGCTCCTGACCATTCTACACAGGCCGCGAGGATGGCACCTTGACGAGCCCCGCGTGACCGTCGACAACGCGCCCATGTCTGGCTCGCTCTTTGACTTTGGCCTCTTCTTCTTCCGCAACGCACACGAGCTCGTCAAGCGCGGCTTCGGCCCCTACTTCTACCTCCCCAAGATGGAGCACTACCTCGAGGCCCGCCTCTGGAACGACGTCTTCGTCTTCTCCCAGTCGTACATCAAGATGCCGCACAACACCATCCGCGCGACCGTCCTGATCGAGACCCTCCCCGCCGCGTTCCAGATGGAGGAGATCCTCTTCGAACTGCGCAACCACTCGTCCGGCCTCAACTGCGGCCGCTGGGACTACATCTTCAGCTTCATCAAGAAGCGCCGCGCCGACCGCAGCGCCGTGCTGCCCGACCGCAAGGATGTCACCATGGAAGTCGGCTTTATGGACGCTTATGTCCGCCTTCTCATCCAGACATGCCATAAGTGAGTGTCCCGTTCGCGATTCTGCCGCCGGGAGCGCGCCGCTGACCTGCTGCCAGGCGCAAGGTTGCTGCCATGGGCGGCATGTCCGCGCAGATCCCGATCAAGGGCGACGAAAAGGCGAACGAGGTGGCCATGAACAAGGTCCGCGCGGACAAGCTGCGCGAGGTCACCAACGGCCACGACGGCACCTGGATTGCGCACCCGCTTATCCACGGCATCGCCCGCGAGATCTTCGACAAGTACATGATTGGCCCCAACCAGGTGTGCACCATCCGCTGTATGTGTTCGAGTTTCGGAGCTGACAGCTCTTGCAGTATCATGTCCGCCGTGAGGACGTCCGCGTCGCTGCCGCCGACCTCCTCAACACGAAGGTGCCCGGCAAAATCACCGCCGCCGGTGTGCGCGGCAACGTCGAGACCGCGCTCGCATACTCCGTGGCATGGCTCGGCGGGAACGGCTGCATCCCGCTCAACTGGCTCATGGAGGACGCCGCGACGGCGGAGATCACGCGCGTGCAGCTGTGGCAGTGGGTGCACTACGGCTCGCGGCTCGACACGGGCGAGCCGATCACGGTCGAGTACGTCGACCGGCTCGTCGAGGAGGTCGAGCCCGAGGTGCGCAAGGCCGTGCCCGGCCTCAAGGAGGAGAACCTGAAGATCGTCAAGGAGTACATCAAGGGCCAGATCCGCAGGCAGTGGCCCAGCGAGTTCTTGACGAGCGACTTGATGCCCCATCTCGCCGCGGCGGACGGCGTGCCCGCGAAGTGGCAGAAGAGCTCGCTGTGAGCGCCGGGGTGGGTGTGTTGAGCATTCAGGGGGTTCTTGGTGGTGGTTACTTGATGACGAGCTGTCACGACTGCGGTTTTGAATCGCTTCATGCGAGTGTCCTGTCCACGTTGTTAGTGTACGAGCATCATGGGAACATTTCTCTTTGTACTTTAAAAGCTGTAATATACGGTTCCGCAATCTAGTCATATATGCAAGCACCGAGCATGAAGATGAGCTGAAAGTAAGGAATATTCGAAATGCTGAGTATATTAGTGGGCTACAGATAGCGAACGGAGGATGGTAGATAGCAGGTGGCAGAGTCGATAAGTAAGGAGAAACCGTGTATATCAGCTAGCTCTACAGTCCAGAGAAACAAACCAAGCAAGCAAAGTCAGTAGACTAGATAAACCCTGGTCCATCGAGATCGCGCTCAGGTCTTCTTGAGCACCGTGACCTGCGCGCCGAGGCTCAGGGCGCGGCTGTACGGGCAGATCTGCACAGACGCAGATCATCGGGCGGAAGCAGCGAAATTCAAAGAAGCACAATATATATCAGATCATTTCATTCTGAGAGACTCGAGCGCTGGAACGCAAACGCACCTCGTGCGCGCTCGCGATGACCGCGTCGTCGTCGACGCCCTCGACGTCGATGTTCACGTTCAGCGCGAGCCCCTCGCGGTCCGTCGGGTGCCCGAGCCGCACCGCGGCGTGCACGCGCGCGGCGTCGGCGAGCTCTTTCTTGCCTGCGCGCGAGGCGGCGAGCTGCAGGGCGCCGAGGAAGCAGGCTGTGTGCAGTACGACATCAGCTTCCAATACACAAAGGAAGAAGATGCAAGAAGGATTCAAGGCTGGAGAGGAGAGGGGGGACGGAGGGAAGACGCACAG